GAAATTAGAGGATGGAAACAGTACCAATGCTATTGAGCAAAAAAAAAAAAAACAATTGGTGTGCACTTTTAAGCAAAACACATTAAACAATGATTCACCATCCAATAGGGCATGCAATCTCCCAATTCAACCAACTAAATATATTGCTCTTTGCATTAAATCAAACCTAATTACAACACTCACATCAAATTAAACATAACCTAACAAAATTATTATTCAAATTCACAAAACTCAATGATAAACACTATCAAAATCAAAACTCATGCTAAATGCGTGTTTTGTGGGTGTGCTGGGTGGTGTGTAAAGAGAAAAGAAAGGTGTGTTGTTTTCTACTGTGTGTACGTAGTAAGTTTATTGCATGAAATGCGTGTGTGTGTGTGAGAGAGAGAGAGAGGGCATATTGGGTGTCCATTTGAACATCATCAAACTGAGATCACAAAATTCAAGAGAGAGTGTGGGTGTGTGTTGCGCAGAGGGGGTAAAATGGGGATTGCGTAGAAAGGGGAGAGCTTGGGTGAGAAGGGTTGCAAAAAGGAAGAGCCTTTTGGGGGGGGGTTCGCAGAAGGGGCGAGCTGGGGGGTGTAATTTGCATGTATGTGTATGAGAGAGAAGAAGAAAAGAAGAGGATACCTGGGAGAAGAGGAAGGCGGTGGCGGTGGCTCTGGCGATGTCGCTGGCGCTAGTGTGTGTGTGAGAGAGAGAGAGTAAGGAGCGGAGGAGAAAAAGAAAAAGATTAATCTCATTTTACACCCCGAAAGATCGTTTGAATCTCAATTTGTACCCTCAAAGAGTAAAACTCTCAATTTATACCCTCAAAGATAGAAATTTGTATCAATGTGCACACCCAAAGATCAAAAATCTCAATTTACACCCTCAAAGATAGAAATTTGTATCAATGTGCACCCCCAAAGATCAAAAATCTCAATTTGCACCTTCAAAGATAGAAATTTATATCAATGTGCACCCCAAACATAAAAAATCTCAATTTGCACTCTCAAATATAGAAATTTGTATCATTATATACCTAAAACTAAATTGATAAATTATACCTAGATCCCATCATGCTTGTCACTTAATCATTTGGACATCTTTACATTTAGAATATTACTCCTACATCTTATGACATTTATGCACGTACAACATGTAACCCATTTTCATTGATATCTGTTAATATAACTGTTAAAAAATATAATTTTATCCTAATAAAAAATTATAATTTCATATTACCCTTATTTTATGGGTTCAATATACTCTAAAGTTCAAAATTTATTTGAATATCTAATAAAATGTAGATATTTATATAATATTTTTCATATTTTTCTTTATATAAATATCTACATTCTATTAGACATTCAAATGGTAAGTTTGATTTTGAACTTTAGAGTATATTGAATCCACAAAATAAAAGGTAATATGAAATTATAATTTTTTATTAGGATAAAATCATATTTTTTAACGATTATATTAACAGATATCAACGAAAAGTGATTATGTTTACACATGTACAAACGTCATGAGATATATGAGTAATATTCTAAATGTGAAGGGGTTCAAATGATTAAGTAACAAACATGAGGGATCTAGGTATAATTTATCAATTTAGTTTTAGGTGCACATTGATACATATTTCTATTTTTGAGGGTGTAAATTAAGATTTTTGATCTTTGGGGTGTTCATTAATACAAATTTTTATTTTTGAGGGTACAAATTGAGATTTTTGATTTTTGGGGTGCAAATTAAAATTTGAACAACCTTTCAGAGTGCAAAATGAGATTAACCCAAAAGAAAAAGAAGGAAGAGATGAGATGGGGGTAGGGGTGTCCATGGGCTGGGCTGGGCTAGGCCTGCGAATTTTTGTCGGGCCGGACTTAGGTAGTGTAGGCCTAAGTCTTTATTCAAGTGAGGTATCGAACAGGTCGGATCGGGTAGAGGTAGGCTACCCGCAGCCCAACCCATGAGCCTATTTGGCAGGCCTGTGGACGGGCTTGCTGAGCGGGCCTGTTTGCGAGCTTTTATATATATATTTATTTAAAAATAATAAATATTTTTGTAACTTAATATTTGTGTAAATTATATTTTTGAATCAAACATAAAGTCAAAATAAATATAAATAAAATAATGAACTGCATCCAAAGAATAAATAAATCTCAACTAGGTTGACACCTACTAACTTATCTGTCATTTATATTATTTTACCATTTAAAAATTATATACTTAATACATGGAAAAGAAAATAATACATTATTTATAATATCTAAATTTTTAAAATTTCAAATTTCGATATTGGGATACTTATTTCAAAGTTTTAAATTTAATGGTCTAAAAGTATAATTTTTTTTCAAATGAGAGTTGGATTGGGCTAAGCTAACAGGCAGGCTCTTGGGCCAGGTTTCGGGCCGGGTAATGGGTTTGGGGCAAACTCAAGTCCTCTTTTTAAGGATTTTGGGCTTGGGCGCGGGTAGGTATATCAGGCTTCGGGCCTATTTTTTTCATGCAAAGTAACAGGACTCGTGAGTAACCCGGCCCATGGACACTCTTAGATGGGCGAGCGACATGGTTTCTAACAAAGGAGTGGGGCCAGTGAGTTTGAGGGAGGACCGGAGAATAAGATGGATTTAAAAACGACATTGTTGTATGAATTTATTTGAAATTATAATTTATTAAAATTTATTTTATTTTATATTATAAATTGTCAATTAACTTATCCAACACGTCACTTATAATACTGATAAGTTGTTTAAGACGTGTGCTCGTATGGAAGTAATGTCGATACTGCGTACAAAAGCAATAATAGAATTCGACAGAGAGATTTTATCCAACTTGGATCTTATAATAGAGTGAGATCCACATTCCACTGTACTGTAATATACTTATACTGAACTTCCTGAGTCTATAATAGATTATGAACTCAAGAAATGGGTAATCTGTCATTTAAAATTTGAAAGGGATGTGTATTAAAGCTGATGATACATGAATAGAAATTTTATCCAAGAATGAGCTTGGGAAGAAAAGTCAGACAGGGAGCTCAGACATCTGAAGCCCAAGTCCTGAGTCCCTCTCGGATGAAACATCAGAGCAGTCAAGAAAAGAACAGCTGACCTGTAAGAGGAATCCACAGAACAGCAAAAGAGCAGCGATCAAGGCGTGAGATTCTAAACCACCCAAGATCCCCTCCTAAAATCAAGAAAAATCCTGTGGATTAAGAACAAGGATCTCACTGTAGATCCTTTAGGGATAAAAATAAAAATTATACTATATACATACTGTACAATGCTTCCGAGAGAAGGCAAGAAAAACTTAGTTACATGAGAAGGCACACTGTAAATTCGATTTCTCACCATTAAAACAAGAGCAAAATCTCCATTGAAGAGTAGACTAGCTAAGCTCCCGAGCCGGTGAACCCCTATATTTTCATTGTCTAAGTCATCCCAAACCCCTAGCAGTACTTCTCACAATCCTCACGAGCCTAATAACTCAGGTCCAAGCTGACAAAAATAACTCCTAACTTCTGCTCATTTAAACTAATTCACACCATCAAAAGCGATCTAGATACTTGTAAACTTATACGAACAATGCTATGAAGGATGGCACTCTTGCACTACCTTCGAAACATTATTCATTTAGTCGTTTAAGTTGGCTTTATCTAATGTCTTAGATTTAGATCCCCACAAGAATGAAAATTATCATTTGGTCTCTACAGTATGGTTCTAATCCTTTGACAGCATCATTTGCCAAAAGATGTTAATTAATAATTAAGGACATTCATGGGTAGGGGTGTAACTTAGGCAAATCAACTTGAATTTAACCTGAGTCCAACTCACCAAAAACAGGATTTTTGTTAGAATTTTTAATATATAGGTCGGACCTGAGTAAAAAACCTCTAACTCGCATTGAATATAGGTAAGTCTTGGGTTGTCGGGTTCAACCCGAATATTAAAATTGGGTTGAACCCAAATATACATAAATATATTTAATTAGGGTTAGTATTTATTTTCACTCTTTAGAATTTAAACTTTCACTTCACTTCAGGTCTCTACCTCTACCCCTCCATGACTCTCAGATCCTTCTCTCACTCGTCACTCTTCCCTCTCTCATTCCCTCTCCTTCGTTTTCATCTCACCCTTCATATCATATTACTTGAAAAAATCAAATTTACTCTTCCAAAAATCAACCCAAATTAAATAACTCAAGCCTAACCCGATTTTTAACCCCAAATCAGCCCAAATTAAGTAACCCGAGTTTACTCGAACTAAACTCGGACAGTACTCAGGTTGAATACCTCAGATTGAGGTAGAGTTTGGGTTAGAGTTAAAGATTATATACCTAAAGTTGAGCTAGAGTTGATCTCTCAACCCGTCCAACTCGCCCGAGCTACATCCCTGTTATGGGGAAGACCTACGTGTAGTGTCTATCCATTTTGCCTGTGCATGCTAGAAAAACAATCTACTAGTACAATCATACCTAGCCCGTGAAGAAACCAACAAGAGGTTTCAATGTTGCAAGGAAAGGAGCTATTTTGTTCGCATCTGGAATTTGCATTTAAAGACCGCACATTGAAATTAAAACTTTCAAGGGAAAAATGGAGACTGTTTTTATTGGGACTTATTGGGGACTACATTTTTATATAGCAGACTGTTGATTATGAACATGGTTTGCGTGGTAAGCATAGAATCGATTTTGCACACGTCAGGCTGGGTTTGGCAAAAAGCTCGATAATAGATGAATTATCAAAAAGAGATTACATTCACACATGCATCATTCTAATAAGATCATCGAGCTTGAGCTCCTTTAACTATTTTCAATAGCATTCATACAACTTAATAACCATTTGGAGGCGAAAATAAGCATTACCCTGAAAGTATCAGTCCGAAGCGTTGCAATTCCTCTTGTCATGAAAAAATCTCCAGTTCCTCCAACCACTGAAAGATCCCTAGTCTCCGAGTCAATCATATTTGCACCCATAATATTTATAGTACCTTTATGCTTGGTCGAGTTGAATATCAAAGTGTAGGAGAACAAGCATTATAAGTAGTCTTCATGTCATAGAAATAGAAGCCTTGAGCTCGGGCGACTGGGGGAGAAAGAAGATGGTGATCTTTCGTGATGGGATCGTCGAACACGACCAGCATCCCAAATTTGTGAGTCAGTTGAGTTTCATTTGAAGCTTTGGCAGATGTGGCATTTGCTACATTTGTGCCATTGAAAATGATGCCATGGTAATAGAGCACCATCCTCTTGCATGGTTTTTCTGGTTTGATTGATTTTGAGTGAGACAAAACAAACCATGACACAAGTAGGAAAAAGAGAATGAGACAGAATTTCTCAACAAGGCCACTCATGATGACTGAGTTGGTATATGTCTGTGGTAGATAGATCAGACTGAACTGTATCCAATTTATAGAGCAAATGTTCCCTGCTGTCCGATCCTGTCATCAAGCACCATGTTTCTTAGTAAGTGATGGGACTCTTCTGAAAAACCCTATGATGAAGACACGTGTCCTCGGGGTTTCTAGAACAATGTTGCTCGGGTTCAAGCACCATCGGCAAAAAGCGTCCTCTCCCCCGAGGTACCTCTCATATAGGATCACATATTCGGTGCATTTTACAACGACACGTGTCCTCGGTCACCGTGTAGCTCGGAAACATACCGCCCTCGGTCCCCGAGGTGAGTCTTTCCTCGGTGCCGAGGGTCACTCCATCCTGGACGCTTCCTCTACTCCCGGATAAAGCTACTGACGTACGGGACATCAGCCTATGCCAGTCTAGACTATTCATCATGACCTCGTCTTAACACAAGTAATGTCAGAACATGCTGGAATACCGACGTCACAGCCAATAAGGGATGGACGCGTGGCAAATAATGTCACATCAGAAGCAGACAAACCGCATGCCGTCGCTGACACGCGACTTGGGAAAGCAAACAAATTAATTGCACCCTTCTGTTGACGAGACCGCATTCAATGCGGTAAGGTTCGGATATGAAAGGCAATAAATGCTCCTATTACAGAGCATTTATTGCATCCTTCCCGAAAGGAGCATATTGTACCGTCGGCGTCCCGACGGCTCAGCATTGATTGCTCGGGACCCCGAGCAATCAATTAGAGAAGACATTCCTCATCAAATCAATACACACGCTACCTGTGCCTGATGATCACCTACTGACCACACTGACAGCAATCATGAGCTTCTAAGGTATAAATACTCCTCCCAAAAGGCAAAGCGGGTATGCAATCAAAAACTCACTACTACAAAATATCCTTATCAGTGTTTTCTCCTTCTTCTCTCTCATTCAAAGACTGACTAGACCGTCGGAGGGGATACGCCGGAAAACACTCCGGCGCCCTTCTAACTTGTTCTCCTTTGTTCCAGGAAATACCTTTCACACGTACAAGATCGTTCTTCCTTTCCCAGGATCTTCCTTTGCCGTTCCAGGTTGCCACCGTTCCTTGTAGGCTGTTTCAAGCAGTGTGTTTGGCCACTCAACCGGCTCACTCAAAGTTCACCAGGGGAGAGAGTATTCCCAATATTTTTTATATTGTGCAGGATCTTGCACGCACAATCTGGCGCCGTCTGTGGGAAACGAGTAGTTTTCCTAATCTTTTCTCTATAAAGAACAGTGACCATGGTGAACACCAGACAGAAAGGGAAGGGACCCTACCAAAGGAGTCATGAGTTGCAAGCTCCCTGCCATCACGGAGGGAGGGATCGGACCAGTACGATTAAAAGTGCCTCTACTCGGTCAAGGGGGGTAACCCCCCAAACCAGTATGGGGATCAGGTCAGGAGGATCAGCCCCCTTGGCCCGTCAGCTGGCAGAGGTGATAGAAGAGAAATTTGGCGATAGATTACGTCAGCTGGAGAAAGGACAATGTAAACGTCCTTAGCCGGCTCGACGAGTTTGCTGCCTCAGGCGGAGGGTCGAGGGATTCATTCCTCTCCCGAGGACTCCCCGTCCATGAGGCGGAGACAAAGGATCTAAGGAACCACCTGGATCACAAAGCAGAAAGCTCCAGGGCCCCGAAGCGACCCAAAGCCGGCGAATGCCATCTTGACAACCATTCCAGGAAAGCAAGGCCATTGGCCCTGGACGACCTCCGGCGAGGTTTATCCAGACGGAGGAAGGGAGATGAATCCGAGGAGGACTCAACCCAATCTACACGACGCCCAGGAAACGAGGGGCTTACCGACGAACCCAGAGACTTCAGGAGGCATCCCGTAAGGGAAGAAGTAGATCTCAGAGCCCGATTAGACTCCAGAAGAAAGGGTAAGACGATCCAGGACGAGGCCGAGGACGAAGTCATGCAAACACCCTTCACGAGGGAAATCAGTGAGATGGATGTCTCAAGAAAGTTCGTCGTGCCACGGTTCAAGACCTATGATGGGCGATCTGATCCCGATGCCCATATCAGACAATATAAGCAGATGATGTCCCTCTATCATTCGGACCAACGGTTTCTATGCCGGGTGTTCCCTATGAGACTCTGCGATGAGGTGGTTCGAGGCGCTTCCCCCAAACAGTATTGGGTCCTGGAAAGAATTGACAAGGCAGTTCCTAACCCGATTCATCACGGGGAGTAAGCGCCCCAAGGACATTGGATCACTGCTGACCCTCAGGAGGAGGGAATCCGAGACTCTTCGCCAGTACGCCATCCGATACTGGGAAGAAGTCAATGAGGTCGAGGGATGCTCGGAGGTCATGGCAGCAGCATCCTTCCGGCTCGGCTTGGCGAGGGACACGGACCTGTACCGATCCCTGACCAAAAAGACTCCCTCGGATATGGGGGAACTGATGGCCCGGATCAACAAGTACTCAAGGGTCGAGGACGAGATGGGGAGCAACAAAGGCCGAGCCCTCCAACCCAAGAGAAAGGAAAAAGAGCGCGAAGATATTCCCCGGAAGGGATTGCTACCCCATCCAGGGGGTTCGTCCAGAGGAGTTCACACCGTCTTCAAGGAACCCATCTTCAGGTTGCTCCATAAAATCAAACACGAGCCGTTCTTCAAATGGCCGCCCAGGATGCAAAGCGACCCCTCCACCCGTGATCAAAAAGTAAGGTGTTCATATCACCGGGATGTCGGGCATCGCACCGAGAGCTGCAGGGTGTTCAAGTCATTCTTGGAGAGCTTAGTCCGAGATGGATACCTGAAAGAATACATAGAGCCTAGGCCAGAAGAGAAACGAGCCCTTGCCCCGACCGAGGAACCGGACAACGTCATAGACGTCATCCATGTGTGTCCACTGGAGCGCCCCACGTCCAAAGAGCTCGAATCCGACCTCAAGAGGGTAGCTTTTACCAGAAAGGTAGCCGAGGGAGATGTGGGGCCATCAAGTAAAAGGGCCAGGATGGGTGAGCTTGGCATTACGTTCTCTGACGCGGATTTGACAGGCGTGGTGATTCCTCATAACGACGCCCTTGTCTTAACCTAAAGATAGGGAAATTCGATGTCAAGAGAATCTTGATAGATTCAGGGAGCTCCTCGGAGGTGATGTACTTCGAGACTTTGAAGCGGATGGGCTTTGGCCCCAAAGACTTAACCAAAATCAGGACACCCCTCATCGGGTTCAACGGCTCTTTCGCCTTGCCCGTGGGGAAAATTACATTACCGGTCGCCACTGGTCCCTTCGTCATCGACACAGAGTTTGTGGTGATCGACACGGACTCTCCTTACAACGTGATTATGGGGCGAACATGGCTGCACGCGTTGGGAGCGGTGCACTCCACTCTCCACCAGAAGTTGAAGTTCGCCACGCCAGAGGGCGTCATGGAGATTCGGGGGGATCAAGCGTCTGCGAAGAACTGTTTTTATTCGGCCGTCCGAGCCGGGGCGTCCAGCCAGGAGAAGGGGCGAGCACCGGAAGAGATCATAGAAAAATAGCAATTACAGTCCGGGCGTCCGGGGATGGATGACCCCCGGGTAGGACCCAGCTGAACGATCGGTTGAAGACCTCCGGAAGGTGCCTTGGTTGAAGGAGAAGAAGAGAAGTATTTCCTAGTTGGGACCTCGATGCCCGCAGCCGAACAGGAGGAGATGATCAGGTTCTTAAGAGGGAATACAGACGTGTTCGCCTGGAACGAAATGGAAATGACAGGAGTAGACCCGAGATAATTACTCACAGGCTGCATGTTGACCCATCTCACAAGCCAGTAAAGCAGAGGCCACGACGTATGGCCCCGCATCACACCAACGCGGTCAATGAGGAAATAGACAAACTCCTAAGAGCCGACGCCATTCGAGAGATACAGTTCCCAGAATGGCTGTCCAATACAGTATGTGCAAAAAAGAAAGGGGGAAATGGCGTGTCTGCGTGGATTTCACAGATCTAAACAAGGCATGTCCCAAGGACGACTACCCCCTGCCGAAGGTGGACCAGCTGGTAGATGCCACAGCCGGATATGAACGAATGGACTTCCTGGATGCTCGAGCAGGATATCATCAGATCCCTCTTTATGCCCCGGATCAAGAAAAAACGGCATTTATCACTCCGAAGGGAGTTTATTGTTATAAAGTGATGCGTTTGGATTGAAGAACGCCGGGGCAACATACCAAAGATTGATGAATCGGATGTTCAAGAGAGCAGATCGGCAACACCATGGAGGTCTACATAGACGACATGCTGGTAAAAAGCAAACGGAGTGGTGATCATCTTACAGACTTGGCGGATACCTTTCCACTCTCAGGGAGTATGGGTTGAAGCTGAATGCAGCGAAGTGCGTCTTCGGAGTGGAGTCGGGAAAATTCCGGGTATCTGGTTAGTCAGCGAGGAATCGAAGCCAACCCAGATCAGATTAAAGCAATCCTGGATATCCGAAGCCCTCGCACTGTCCGAGAAGTCCAGAAACTCACAGGGATGCTGGCTGCACTTAACCGATTCGTCTCACGCTCCTCGGATAAATGCAAACCCTTCTTTGGAGCAATCAAATGTGCTGGGAAGAGTATGTGGAGCCAGGGGTGCGAGGACGCCCTGGCTGGGATCAAAGAATACCTGAGGACTCTTCCGAACCTTATCCGTCCCCATCCAGGGGGAGATGTTGTTCCTATACCTGGCAGTTTCAGAGTTTGCAGTAAGCGGAGTACTTTTATCCGTGAGCATGAGCACCGACAGAAGCCGATTACTACATCAGCAAGGCGCTCCTGGATGCAGAGACAGATATCTGCCCCTAGAGAAACTGGCCCTGTCCTTGGTCACCACTGCAAGGAAACTGCGATTACTTCCAGGCGCACCCAATCACTGTCCTAACTGATCAGC